GTAAAATTGATACTTTAAATGAAAAAAATATTTCCGATACGGTGAAAATAACATTCCACTGGCCGACGCGCTGCAGGTATCTGTAAAGTGTCTTAAACACGGTGATTACCATCAAACCGTGACGGCGTCGAGCATATAAATTGGCGTTTCGGTCGTCAAAGTTCGATTTATTTACCGATTTCGATGATAGAGACATTAAAATTGGGGAAGTTGTTGGTAATCGTAGAATTACCAGAAAGTTAAACCACGAATTTAACCACCGAGATTGTTCGTGATAGATATTTAAATGTAGAGAAGAACGTTTCTGGGGCTATAATCCACCGTTAACGTGTTGTCTAACCATTTTTTCAAATTTTAAAGATATTTATTTACTCGGTCATGCTTTCAAGAAGGTGCGAATCGACACGTTCTAGACCTCGTAAAAATATAGATAGTTTCATTTCCCCATTTTTCTGTAAACTTATACTTAATTTCAAATATAAAAAATAAAATCTGTTGACTGTTCCATGAACGTAATAAATCACATAGAAACAGCAAATAAATTAATACTATTCCTGAGATAAATATTTAATTACATCTGATAAAGATCTGTAGGTGTAAATAAATACAACCCGCTGGAATAACAATGGCCACTAAATAGCTTCCAAAATGCTATTAACATCCGCAATTTGCTTTCGAATTTTAATACGTAAAATAGCTGAGAAATATTTTCTTTTAGCGTAAGATATTTTTGAACGAGTTTGTTAGAAAAATGTATAAATAATTGCAAAACATATCGAATTTAATAGTAAAACTTTGTAAAGTTCAAGCGTATCTCGCCCGAGACGTTACACACATAAGGAAATAAACCGAAAAATGTTTAAGCGGTCTGATAGCATGATTTATATTTGAAAATATCATGCAAACGAGATAAATAACGAGCACTAAATTCAAATCACCTAACAGGAAATACAGTTTTGAAGAAAAAACGAAACTGTTTATAATATGTAAATTTCGGGCTTATTTATAAATCATTTCATTGTACGGTCTAGAATCCGCTCAGAAAAGTTTACGTACTGTTAATAGACCAAGTGGTCGATAAATTAATGCCAAACGGCACATGTTTAATTTTTAATATATTACTGCATACATGACAACTCGAACTGATTTTTGAAAATCGTAGTTGTTGGGCTTATTCTTATTGGAATGTTGACCAGACGGTTGACCAAATTTTTCTGCCAAGATGAACTTCTCATTTTGGTGAGGGTGTTAGCCATTCCGATTTATTTTAATGCCAGTTTCATAGAAAATAACATTTATAGGGGCTGCTTTTCCATGTGTAATGGGACCACGTTGCTTATGTTAGACTGTTAAACTCTGCATCAACTAATCTACAAGTAGGATCAATTTTCGATATTTTGCTTCACGTTCGAGATATCGGAAAAAGTTATTTTGCATTTTTTCGCATACATAATTTCATGCCAAATTCGCATTTTTAGGTTTTTCATAATTTTGATCAATACACAAATTTATTAAAAGTTGATTTTTTTGTTTGATAAATTCTTGTAATTTAAATTCTAGGACAAATGACAATTTATCAAATGTCATTTCACTCCTCCATTTGTTCAAATACATTTTTCAATTCTTTTAGGACTTCTGGATATTCGCCTAAGTTCTGGGATGCTAATTCCTTGACGGGCTTGTGTTACTCTGACACATCTCGATTTTCGGGGCTTGTTTTATAAACTTTATTTTTTATCACTCGCCAAAAATAAAGATCGATTGGTATAATATCAGAGGACCTCAAATGTCAGGGTTTAAAAAACCTTTTTCTTCCTATCCAGCGCATAGGAATTTTCTGGCTTAACCATTGACCCATATGCTGATTTTCTATAGCATCACATAATTCCCAATCAAAAAAGTTAACTGAAAAGTGAACTGAACTGGATTGAACCAGCATTTAATGATTAAATAAAGAAAGAAAGACCTATTATTTGGTCTCCCAGAATTCCATACCCGACATTGACTTTCTGGGAATATTGTTTACAATATTACAATGTTTATTATTTATGACCCAGTATCTACAATTTGGAGATAATGCAACCCCAGTTTTGGTGAATGTAGTCTCATCGGTAAACATTATTTTCTTCAGAAAATACCTGTCAATTAAAAAATTACCTTTGGTCCAATAATGATAATCTAATCTTTTATTCTCATCACCTTCTTTTAATGGTTCTGTGTATTCGCTGATGATAACGATTTTTTTTTTTTTGAATAATAAGCCAGTTTTGAAAACAGTATTTACAGCAGCTGCTTTTCTGCTACTATTACGTTCAAAATCAATTTTTTGGTTTAAAGTCAGCAGCATTTTAATTCAGTGATCACTAAATAGAACTCAAAGTAGTAAACTCAAAGTTTAATCTGATTGGCATCAATAATTTCACAAATGTCAAATTATTACTTTCCATGGCACACTAGTTTATCAAATTAAAAAATAAATTTATAATAATTTTATGTAGGTATTGCTCAAAATTATGAAAAAATTAAAGTGTTAATTTTGTCATGAAATTTGATATGTGTGGTTAGATTAATATTCGGAATAATTTTTTCATATAGCTGCTATATCTCTAACGCGAAGCAAAATATCGAAAATTTACCAATTTTTGTCGATTTGTAGTATGCTGCGTTTAAACTTTAAATTTCAGCTAAGTATTTTGAAAAAGGTCAACTATCAACATATATACATTGTTCAGTCCATGTTTGCACTTAATTGCGGGGAACATTCATACATATAATCGATATTGTGTTGTTGTATTTACAATTTAAAATGTTGGTTTGAAGTTATCAATATGGAATGTAAAATTAGGTTTTGATTGTAATTTGTTGAATTAATAACACTTAATAATAATTTACATTATGTCCAATAGATAAAAAAAAATATCGTGTGTTTGAAACAGCCTCAAAGCTTTGGAATCGTATAATAAAAGTAAGATTACAAAAAAGGGTAGACAATTTTTGGTTTGGTTATCCTGCTGCTGAGGTGTGATTAAAACCCTACTACTTAAAGGGTTTGTCTGTTCCTTGAAAACTGTGGCAATGGACATTTTTTGGTTTAGACAACATAAATTTTCTTTGTTGCAGTTGAAACTGTTATTGCGCCAATGTTTCATTAAATGTATTCCTATTCTTTAATTGCTTATTATCTTATTAAAATGCGTTTCAGTTTTATAAACGTGCTAAACTTTTTTGCTTCTCATTAAATAACCCTTTCGATGGTACCATTTTCGAATTCGTTTTCGGAAAAAAGTTTGCTATTTGAATAGCGAATGAACTAAATAATGTGATTCATTGTGAGGGGACGTTTTATTTTGGGGACAAATAAATAATGCCATATGAGTTCTCAAATATTTATTTCAAAATTAAACATTTATTGAATTATAGGTGTGCTGCATATAAATTACATTTTAAATTTTAAAAAACAATCATGCACCGGCATTATTGATATTCCAATTATTTACGAATAGATATAATTTGTGCACTTCGTTATTAAAAATGTTTAAAATGGCCCAAAATATGGAACAATGTATTAAAACTAATTACGCCGTCGACACAAATTGCCCGTATTGTTTCAGAACAATATTTTTCAAGCAACCAAAATTTCTCCAAATATGTATTAACCGTATAACTATGTGGAGGTATTTGGTCCATCGAATACAGCGCGCTATTCAAGGACAAAACAAGGACGCAAAGGCAGGTAAAAAGGTCACCCAAAAACCACCACTGAACGCTTTGGTCTGTAATTGTAAATTTTACCGACAAACTTAAAAAACTCCCATTGCATAAAATAAAATTAGGTATACATAATTATACTTATAAGTATAAGTATTTAAAGAATCCCATATAGTCATTTCCTCTCCCAAAAACGTGTAATAGGTATTGTGAAAAATTGGTTTTGTTTTGTATACCTACTCATTATTTTGTAATAAATCTGTTAAGCTAATCTAGAGCTAATTGAGACAATACCAAATATATAAATGTAACTAATGTAATAAAAAATGAATCATTATGCGAAAATTAATGTTTATGACACAGAAAATCATTTCAGAAAAAAATATTTAAAAAGTTCATCCATTTTAAAAATTAGGAATATTTTTCTCTTATTAAATATATAATTTAAGGTGCATTGGGCAAAGGGTCACCAACCCAAAAATCCCTTACGTAATTGTCACAAAGAATAAAGTCTCAGGTAAACTAGCACCTGAAAAATGCTTTGCATTCGAGAAATAGATAATCGGCCGTAACACCCTCAAACTTCTTTTATTCCCCAAACCCTCAGCTCAAAATAATCGACAAAAGGTTTTTGAGTTACGAGCAATCATTGGTCGGGTTTACCCCCACCTGTACATTAGCCGTCCCCTCCTGCCCTCATGATGGCTCTCGGTAGTATTTGGAAGCACGCGGCACTAATCTAAGCCACCATGGTTGCCAAATTGCCTGTAAGTATCCCAGATATAATTAAATTAAAATTAAATAAAAACAGAGAACTCTATCAGAGCTGTTTCAAGCGAAAAATTGATTCTAAGCCTTTTGTTCTATACGCATTTGTTCAAAAAATGTCAATGTATTAATAAAAAACAAATGATCCTTTCTCAAACTATTTTTTTGACGATGATAGATGTAGTAGAATATCTAAGTTTCAGCAATGTGTTCATCAACGCATATTGTGAGACACTGATCTGCAGTTAATTCGTTTTCGTTTTAATTAATATATCTGTCTGCGTATTTAAAGATTGAGGGGAGTTGATTGGCCTGCGAGTGGCAACGCCGCCTAGTCGACTCATCTCCCCACTCCTACAGGCCCATCCAAAATGTTCTCGTGGTCCTTCGAGCCATGCGGCACTTATCTCGTGCCCCTATGGCTTAGGCAACCCCCTCCACGGCGACATTTGTTCGTATGCGCGCCTAACGCGCGGCAAAATCTTCAAATGATTCAAATTAGTAGATGTTCGATTCAGAAAGCACAAACACGCAATTTATTACATAGGCTTGTCTTACACCTTTGTGGAGCTTTATTGTAGTTTTGTTTTGCGGCATCGAAACATACGTTTAATTAGTGTGCTTTTTGTTCTCCTTCCAAATTTTCTTTATTGTCGAATTGTTTTGGTGGTGTGTTTAATGGTTTGTTTGGTTTATGTGTTCGTTTTTTTGTGCCAGCAGAAGAAGCCGGAAAGGAACGTAAGTTAATTGAATTATTTAAAAATTTGTGGTTTTCCGAAAGTACCTCCCATCTTAACTTTTACCCGGATTCTGCGCGTTGGATGTTTTGTTTGTATTGTGTTTGCAATTAACTCAATATAACAGAAATTTGTATCTAGAGAGAATTATTAAATATCTCCATGTTTTTCTCTCTTTTTTAACAGTTAATTTGGTTATCCTGGTGCTGACGGACGTAGGTGTGATTAAAACCATACTATTTAGTAATAACATTGCAAACTTATAAATACCCAAGCAAAAGTTTTTTTTTTCAATAATGCGTTACATTACATAATGAAATAATAATATCAAAGTGTAAAATATATACAAAAACAAAACTCATGCAAAAGACATATCATAATTATTGTGTGCAGGAGGCCCCTTACATATGAAACTTCAAATTAAATCTGTTGGATGAGTGCCCAATATTCTTCTGTTTGTTCTTAAAATACTTTTAGAGATTTTTGCTTACCTGATAACTTCAAATTACGCAGAAATTAATTTTTTTTGGATTGAAAATTTCACTACCACTTACTCATTTCATGCTGATATTTACCAGTGTTGAATGTGCCGTTTTACCCATGGAAATTGTACCATCCCTGGCCATATTTGCTGTGACAATTTACACATGACAAGAATTATATGTGGCAAGGCAGATATAGTATAAAATCCAATATGGCAATTTTAAGGGTTTAACTATAAAGTCTACATGGCGTCAAAAATCGCAGCTTCGCAGGTTTATTTTATTTCTTATATATTTCCTGATCACTGACGTACTGAAGTCAGTGCCAAAAATCGAATAACTCGTTCGACGCACATGGTCGGAAAGTTATGGGTATTATCCTCCAAGGTTTGCGAAATAACAAACGACACTATTGGCACAACGAGGTTGTAAAATGGGTGCCAATCCGATAGATGTTGCAATTCCTGAGAGAGAATAACGGCCTAGCGTAATTGCCTGTAATTGAATGGTCTTATAATTGCCCCTCTGTCAATTGATAACCGATTAACTTGCCGTTTGCGACCATGAAGTGCCTTGCTTGGAATTCGGTTAAAAGAGAAAATGTCTGGAATTGTTTTAGGATGTTTCGTTTGTTTCGTTATGTTGTTCGCATGTCTATTTTCATTCATCATTATAAACCTATTCATTTTTTATGATAACTATTGCAGCGACGAAATCCTAGACATTTTATCTGTAAATAAATATCCCAAAGTTAAATCGGGTCTAGTAAAAGGATCCGGGCCAAAGTCCTTCGGGAAGGGAGATACGGAAAACGGGAAAAAGGACGAGGTTAAGATAAAAGGAAGATAAACAGATTACAATGATTTACCGACTCTCAAATATGTGACTGGCTATATTAAGTAGAAAGTTTCTTAACTAAATTTAAAACTTGCGAAACTTTAAGGAATTTGTCGAAGTTACTTTTAAAATGGTTTGAGAGCGGTAAGCCGCAGGTGTGCCCTAAATGTGTGCCAAAATTATAAATTAATAACGTAAAATACGTAATTTCAAATATTTTTATTTTTTTAAGTTAATTTTTGTAATTTGTACCGAATTTGGAATGATCATTCATATTTGGAACCAAAAAAAAGTTAGTTAACTTCCTTCCGTTGATATATTTAAACACATTTTTGTGGTCTTTAAAAATATCAGTAATGCGAGTAAAGACTTTTGGAACTAAAAAATAGGTATCTCAAATTTTTTAAATAAAGTCGATGAAGGTTTTTTTAAAAGAAGATACGAATATGACTGCATGGTATTTATTTGAATGTGGGGTTTTAAAAACTTCAAAATCATAAAATTTTTATAAAGACTAATCAATTATCATTCACATACGAAAATTTTTGCGTCTTCGTAAATAAACACTATTTGCATTGCGACGGATTACCATACACATAAGCGTGACAGTTAAGTACACATACAAAATAAAGTAATATAACGGAATAGCCAAATTTTTTATAAGTTCAAAACCATAAAGCAATGCCCTTTCGAGGTTTTATACAAAACCACATTCTTTTTTGTTAGGACTTTAAAGCCTTACAGATAATTTACGACTCAGAAGCAATAAACCAAATTGGGTTTTGGGTGGCTATAAATCGTCACCTATTAGCAAAAAGCCGCAGATACAGTTATTTTTAGAAGGTCTTTTTGGATTTTTTTAAATGCTTGATCCATATAACAAAGAATTGCCGTTAAATGTTGCGGAATTTTTTACTTTCCTTGGTGTAGGGTGCATACAATATTAAAAAATCATGGAACCTATAATTTTCCCTATATATAATTGGATTATACACATACACACGCATAATAATCCTGCAATCCGAAGAAACCTTGGCCACGAATAACAATTTGCGCACCATTATACTGTTGTTACCGCGTAAAACCACTATAAGTAATTGATCGTCTCATTAGGAAAATTAATGCCGCTTATAAATAATGAATCGCAAATTATTGCAATTACGACATTAGTTAAACGCCGGTAAAATCACTTACCTGTGCTACCGACTCGGTTATTATTGTAAAATTATACAAAAAATATATAACAGACCTTTTGATTACAAGCAAAGATTGATGCGATAACCGTACATTGTTTAGTTTTGCCTATATAATTTTTAATTTTGAATAATAATTTTGAGTAAAATATTGAGGGTTGTTGTACAAGAATGTGTTATTTAAATGTATTTGTATTTGTATTGTTGTAATGTATTGTATTTAAAAAAAATCTGTACCGGCAGAAGTTGGCGCGTTTTTTATAAAAATATTCAGGTCGATTCACGAATTGGTTGTCACAAACCGCTAACGAAAACTGTTTAGAATTATGCAATGCTTAAATATCAAATATCAATCTGTTTCAAAAAAAAAATCAAAGAAATGTCGAATATAAAACCAGATTATTATAAGTATAATATGATAATACAATATAAGACTGAGAATTTCCTTTTTTATAAATTATTGTTACTTAATAGAACAGTTTCCTATGAGCCGCAAAAGTGTGTTTTTTTTATTAAACAAAACCCACCAGCACAAAAAACTGAACACCTATGGATAAAACGCTGAAGAGTTTTGGTGTATAAATCTTGGGAATTAGTGATATTCGTTGAAATCACGTGAAATCGCATTAAATCTGGTGAACCAGCTCTGTGAAATACCTGAAATTTGTAAAATCATTGTTATCTCTGAAATCCGTGAAATATTTGTAAAATCATAACGTGTTTCCTTGAAGTTTCCAGGATTTTCCGTTAATTAAAACGAATTCAAATTAAAAAATGCTATTATGTATTTATTAAATAAATATTTTTGTCATTTGTAGATTGGCAGTCTCCATATGTAACATTCGGTGGTTGGATTATTACCAAATTTGGGAAATACTATTGCTAAATTAAACGAACTTTACTGATGGGGTCTTTAATTTAGATTTTTTAGAGTATTCATTTAACTCGATGATTCAAAATTATTTTCGGTTTTCAATATAATTTTTTCATCAACAAATATTAATAACTATCAAAATTCTTTTCTAAAAATCTTAATCATGTTCGTTTCTATAAATAAAATTACGTAATTGAAGTTATAACGATGAGTAGTTTAATATGGACAAAATTGTTCTTTTAATGCATATCCTAAAAACATAATATTTAATTACAGTATGTCCTGAAATTTGTGGCTATATGACATCGATGTGATGAGGCAGCCTGTATTTAACTTCTAAACTAAATAGATTTTCTAAATCTGAAACCAAAGAAAAAAAATAAGAAACATAATTTTGAAAAATAAATTAAAAATAAAATGTTTATGTCTATTTTTAAAATTTATGGATTTATTTATTAGTTTATTTACCTATTTAATAACTAATTTAATTATTTTAATTTAAATACTGGCGCTGAGACAACTCATGGCATTTTTTTATGTGTTTTTAATTTCAATAATTTGTAATTTGTTATTTTTCAAAGTAGTAAAATTCGTAAAAATTATTTGAAAATCCACAGAAATTCTGTAAAATCCGTGAAATCTGAAATCCATAAAAAAGCTATTGATATATCCATTAATGTCTCAGAAAATGTTAAATGAAAAAAAAAACAGCTTAGTTTCTTCATTAAAGTAATTTAAATTGACTGTATGTTTTTCTTTTAAATAAAATTTTTTTCTTTTTTTAAATGTTTAGATTAATTATTTTTTGTTTATTGTCCTTCCTAAATACAAATTTTTAATTTTATATATATATATATATATATATATATATATATATATATATATATATATATATATATATATATATATATATATATATATATATATATATATATATATATATATATATATATATATATATATATATGTATATATATATATATGCCTTTTTTTTTAATTATTGTGTTTTGCCCATGTTTAGATAAATCTTACGTAAAGAGACTAATTTGTCATTCTTTCAAAGTTTCGTCCAAGCTTTTACGACCGACAGATAATGTCCCGGTTAAAAATACATTGTTTAGAGAAGGTGAGGAAACAAAAGCAATATCAAACCTGCGGTCTTTCTATATTTTCCCCACCACTCGAAACGAAGTCTTTTTGGTCATTAATAAGGTTTCCTAATAAATCAGAGTTTAGTCGAGGGTACGCCTCCAAAGAAATTAAAATGTCCTAAGATTGTTCCAATTAACCAAAAAAGCAAAATGACTTTCGTATGAATAAATCAACTCTAACTGCTCTTGATCAAGCTATCACCCACATTTATAATTCATTGAATAACAGGGAGTACATCCTCGAGCTTATTTTTTGATCTTAGAAGAGCACCGGTTAGCGTCGATCATGACTTGTTACTAAGAAAGCTAGAATATATTGACATAAAAGGTCCCGCATCTGATTGGGTGCGTTCGTATTTACAAGAACACACACATCAGGTTGAGATCGATGATATTCGTTCTACCGTTCGCTCTGTTAATAAATGTATCCCTCACGGCTCTTGTTTATCACCTACACTGTTTAA